TATGGGGGATGAATTAATATGGGGGATGAATTACTATAGGGGGGATGAATTACTATATGGGGGATGAATTACTATGGGGGATGAATTACTATGGGGGATGAATTACTATATGGGGGATGAATTACTATGGGGGATGAATTACTATATGGGGGATGAATTACTATATGGGGGATGAATTACTATGGGGGATGAATTACTATATGGGGGATGAATTACTATGGGGGATGAATTACTATATGGGGGATGAATTACTATGGGGGATTAATTACTATTGGGGATGAATTACTATAGGGGGGATGAATTACTATGGGGATGAATTACTATATGGGGGGTGAATTACTATGGGGGATGAATTACTATGTGGGGGATGAATTACTATGGGGGATGAATTACTATATGGGGGATGAATTACTATATGGGGGATGAATTACTATAGGGGGGATGAATTACTATATGGGGGATGAATTACTATGGGGGATGAATTACTATAGGGGGGATGAATTACTATAGGGGGGGGATGAATTACTATATGGGGGATGAATTACTATGGGGGATGAATTACTATGGGGGATGAATTACTATATGGGGGATGAATTACTATGGGGGATGAATTACTATATGGGGGATGAATTGCTATGGGGGATTAATTACTATGGGGGATGAATTACTATATGGGGGATGAATTACTATATGGGGGATTAATTACTATGCTTACTATGGGGGAATATTACTATACTTACTATGGATGACACATACACATCATTCATCTACTCTTGGTCCGGCCCCCGGGTCCAATATATGAACCCATTGCGGCCCTCAAGTCAAAAAGTTTGCCCACCCCTGGTCTATAACATGTCCTGTGTGGAGGTCCACACTTTTCCTTTATTTTCTTTCTTTCTTTTCTTTCTTTCCTCTTTCTTTCTTTCTTTCTCTCTCTCCACACCATTGGGCTACTAAAACATATCAAGGGCAGCAAACATAGAGTACAGATTAAATATAACTTTTAAAGGATAAGTTCATCTGTGGGAACAAGTTATATGCATCACCCGTTTTAGGGTGGAACATGGAACATGTTCCCAATGCTTCAGCTGGTGCCCAGTTCCCACCCCCTCCCTGTGATAGAAGTACGGGGAGAAGTTCCCTGTACTAGCTGTCATTTTTTAAAAACAGTGCACCCACACAGCCGCATCATTCACTCACAGTGTTCTGTGAATGAATGAACTACAAGTCCCGACAGGCCTAGCAGCGCCGTGGTAGTGCCTGCACAGAATGTACGAGCAACCAGATATATTAACAAGTCTGCAGGATCCCTGCATGGCACCAGCGATCTGCTGATCGCTGGTGCAATGTTTCACAGGGTCCTGCAATCAAAAATAATAAATTCAGATTTTTTACCTGCAAAATATTGAGCATTTATTATTTTTGTCAAAAGGTGATTTAATGCTTATTATTAGGAATTATGAATGCCAATATATATTTTAAAAAAATAATTGAGGCCTCAGCACTTAAAGCAACAATAGCTTCAATAGTATAGCAGTTGTGTATCAAATATCAAAAAGTAGTAATGAAATTTGAAAATCCCCCCAGACACCAATTTCAAAAAGAAGGTTTGTATATGTGGAAAAACAGTGAATGTTCAATTATTGAGTAGCTCAACGAGAATAAATATAAATGTTTTAACTCCAGGTAGACCTTGATATTGCTGAAACTAAAAACATTACAACATAATTTCTGCCACAATCTCCTACTGGCCACACATATTTCCTGAATTTGATTTGTTAGATCAACAGAATTTACCAAAGGCTACTTAGCTTGAGGGTCAAGCGCATTAGACATGTATGGGACTAATAGATTAGGTAAGTGCTCACTGGCATTGGTCTAAGCAAAGTGTAAGAAAATTGTACAGTCTGATTGTGGTCAGTTTCAGATCCAAATTCACCAATGATTTTACTGATGACGTGTGAGGTCATCTGATTAGATGTAAAATTTCTATTTATGCCCACATAATTTGGCTGATTTAACAGATAAAATCAAAAGCCAACCGTAGATGGTGTGACTTTCTTTTCTGCAACCATGGGCTGCAGGAAAGAAAAATGCTAGATTCCCCAATCAACACAGTCAGTGTTAATGGGGGAATACCTCCTGTGGAGCTATTGTGTTCTCCCAGAGGGGGACTAGGGGGAGCCATCCCAGCCAGGAGAACACACAATGATTATTGCTAGTGGTTATAGCCACTGGTAATAATCACATGAAAATCACATGAAGAATCCAACAAGTTTGTACCCATGTTGATCAATCGATCAACTTGGGTACAATCAGCATGCCCATACATGGTTTGAATCCTTGATGAACTGGCCAATTTGTAAACTGTCTATGGCCAGCTTAAGCAACATATAAGCCAGCCATTCTTAACCATGGTTTCATGGTTGCTCCAGGGGTTCCTTGTCTGACTGACCTCCCATTTGATGGTATCTGTATAGTTCCAAGACCAATGCCACTTGGCAATGCCAGCAGAATTACACCAATTTATCTTTTCAGCTGTCTGTAAGGATTGCATTCTTCCTACAAACCAGCATGTAAGGTGTATTTTTTCCTTTTGCCACCATATGAATTGGTTCTGATAAAGGTTCCCTACGACCCCAAAAATATTTTAGGGGTTCCTCTGTGGTAAAAGGTTAGAGAAAGGCTGCTCTAAACAGTGTGGGCAGCTTTTATTGGCAGTTAAATTGCTGATGTTGCTATCCCATGAACCTGCGTGTCTATGGCAGCTTTGTCTCATGGGAACAATATGATTGTCCAGGGACATACTACTCAGCTGGGCTGGCCACAAATGGAAGAGTGTGAATGGGCATGCTAGAGAGGAGGATGTAGCACAGACTTCACAAGAATACTAGAAGGGTGGCGCTATAGAGGAAGGGGCAGCTCAGACTTCAGTATGGTTGTAGAGGAGGTGATGTCAGAGAGGATAGAGCTGCAGACTTCAGAGTAACTTTAGAGGGCCAGATCCAGAACAAAGGAGGAGGCATAGACTTCAGAGTAACTGTAGAGGGGCGGAGCCAGAATGGAAGCAGCATAGACTTCAGAGGAAATGTACAGAGGTGGAGATAGAAGGAAAACGGTGGCACAGACTTCAGTGTAGCAGGAAAGGACTGTGTGGCACAGATGTGCACAGTAACTACAGAGGGGCAGGACCTATGCAACATTGCTGTACAAGAAACAGGGAGCGTGGATCTGCACTTTTCCATGTCAAGGGGGCTTTTCCAAACAGTGGTCACCAACCTTCCCCAACTACCTGGCATGGATTGGCCATTGAGGAACATGCAAGTGATTTCAAATACAAATGCTTGTAAGTCACAGATGATGAATACATATCATAACATAACTGGGCATCAGAAATGTAAGTTTACTGGGGCAGCTGCTAATCCCTGAAATTCCAAAAATCAGAATGGTGTTACGTTCTTACAACCATGCTGTCGGAATCAAAAGATGGCCTGATGAGAATTACAAATATTGTGGCCAGTAAAAAGGTTCACGCACTTTATTGGTGTGGCTTCAGTATTAAGGGCAGAGGATTGTAGTGACCACCGACACTTGTAGCGGGCAGAGCAGACAGATGGACGTACCCTGAATGTGTCATGGAAGATGATTCCTATACAATGACAATCAATGGATGACACAGAATGCAGATAGTATGGCTAATTAATCCGAGACGTCTTCTGACAATCTCCGGGATGGCGGGCCGATGTGGCTAATTACCTTTTCAGCTGGCAAATTGTGTCTCTGAATAATGAGGAAAAACATTACCTGATGAATCCTTTTATTTTATGATCTTATCACCAAAGGCAGAGAAATTGCAGATAAGGAGCATGAATGCCATCTTAAATTACATCTCAGCAAAGCCGCATCCTCCTGACTTATTACTGTCGAGAACAAATCTTTCAATTTAACCCTTCCTGCCCTGGCTGCTCTCAGGGGGTTGGGGGGGAATGGAGAGATATTGCGCCATTCTGCCAGATGACGCTTTCCAGAGTCACATTTTATGGAGACAGAAACCCACAAATGGCACAGAACGTCTTTAGGCTTTTTGTGTATTTCAAATAACATTTAGTTTTTTGTGCATTTAATAAGCAACTGAACAGAACAATTCAACACAAATCACAGTACCCCTCATTCAGCAGGTTTACAGAGTATTCGCGACCCTAGCGCCTGTAATCCTGGGCAGCCAACAGATTTGCACAGGTCTGCAACAGATTTACATACATACCAACTGTCCCGGAAACCCCAGGACAGTCTAGTATTTTGACCTTCTGTCCCGCTGATACTGTGTCCTGGGCCATGTCCAAGGATCACCGCATTAAATTTATTTGAATTACTGCACATACACAGTAACTCAAACAGGCATTAACTGCAGGGGTTGTGAGTGGGTGGTCCCTGCATATTTGGAGGCAAGGTCTGGTTGTAACCAGCCAGTAAAGTGGGCATGATGGGCAGTCCCTGAATACAAAGTGTGACAATTTAATTCCTGTAACGGACTTTAAAAAAAAGTTAGCTTACCTATACACTAGCGATTGTCATCTCCAAAGTAGTCCCTTTGTGAAGCAACACACTTTTCTTGGGCACTGTACCACTGCTGGAAACATTCCTGGAATGTATTTTTTAGAATGCTGTGCAGTTCCTTTGTCGTGGCGTGTCTAGAATGTCATCAAGTCTGTGTCCTTTTATTTTTGGGAAACAGCCAAAGTTTCAGAGTGCCAAGTCAGGGGCATAAAGTGGTTGGTCAAGTTTTGGAATGGATTTTTTTTGGGCCAAGAACTCACCAACACTTAACACATCATGTGCAGGAGCATTGCCATGATGGAGAATCCACTTGTCAGGCCAGAGTTCTGGTCTTTTCCTCCGAAGAGGTTCCCATTCGCACTCTATCCACATTTGCGTTTTTGACTGCCCATTTCTTGCATCATCTTGGACAGTTTCCCGCCCCTCCTTAAACCACCTACCTCATTCAAAAAGATTTGATATCTTGACGGAATGGTTGCCATGAGCTTGTCGTAACAGAGCTAAAGGTTCCCTTGTACTTTTGCCAATTTTCATGCAAAATTTGGTGTTAATCTGTCAAGTACCTGGTGTGAGAGGCCAATGGAGAGAGGACTTCCCTTGCGGCTAAGTTCCAGACTCCCCTGAGAATGGGACAGCAGGAGTCAGGCCCAAAGTGGCACAGGTCGCCTGTAGGAGTACTTGTTTGTGGTCTACCCAGGAGCACAACAGGTGGCGCCTGTGCGAGGTATGCCAGCCCTTCTAGGGAACGGGATTACTGGATAGCCGGTTCAAAGCCAAGGTCAGGTACTAGGTGGGAATCAGAGCAGACGTAGTCAGATGGGATAGCCGAGGTCAAACACAGAGGAGCAAAGAGGGAATATCCATTAGCCAAGTCAAGGTCAGATCAGGGGTTAAGCAGAGCAGACAGGTCCAAGAGCAAGCCAAGTCGGTATCAGGAAATCACAGATCACAATACCACAGGAAACAGGAACAAGGTACTGGGAAGCCAAAGATCAACCAGCACCTGAGAGTAGGGCAGGGCTTCCTTATAAAGACCGTTTGGAGCCAAATTTGAGCTGAAATGAACTTCTGCGGCCATGCAAGGTACTGGCAGGGGTGCCAGGTCTCCTAACACCTCTGCCGAGGACAGAGCCCTGACATAATCTGCTGCGCCAGATTTCTGTCACTCTGATTTCCAACCCAGGCAAATGCAAGTTCGAACATGTTGTCAATACACGCTCGAGCGCAAATACCTGTGTGACTCACCACCAAAGTGCTACACCGTGGGCTTTCCGAGAATTAAATTGTCACATCTCATCTCCTATTTAGAGGTGGGGTCTGGGTAACCAGCCTGTAAAAGGGCTGTGGCTTGGACATGCCCTCCAAAAAAGTGAGTGGACAAAATGTGGATCATCAGTGGGGTTAACAGTGTCTTGGGATCTGGGACCATAATGTTGGTAAGTATGGATGTATCACTGATAATAGGACTGATTTTCACTCTAAATGGGCACATAATTAAGAGGAGGTTGTATCAGGTTCAATTCTGGTGCAGTGTTACTTTAGTGCAGACAGTGAAGGACTTTAGACTCTGTAACCATGTAATAAATCTGTCACATCTGTCTTACTACTCCTGTGTAATATTGCTTTGCTGTATGAAAGAATTAATAAAGGTCTTCCTGTGTATAATAAACTACTGTCATTTTTATTGAATAAAACTCAATTTAAAGTGATACTAAAGGGTTAATTTTTTTTTCAAAATAACAAACATGTCATACTTACCTGCTCTGTGCAAGGGTTTGTACAGAGCAGACCCAATCCTCTTCTTCTCAAGTCCCCCGCTGGTGCTCTGGGCTCCTCCCCATTGCTGAGTGCCCCCATAGCAAGCCGCTTGCTATGAGGGCACTCGTGCGTACTCGCTCCCAAGCCCCATTCTGTATGTCCATAAGGCACAACAGCTGCTCCCGTGCACATTGCTAGATTGGGATCGGGCTTAGGTAAGTATAAAGTGGGCTTCAGGGGGAGCAGCATACTTAAGGTTTTCTACCTTTATGCATAGAAGGCATGAAAGTAAAAAAAAAAAAAAAAAACCTTCAGACTTTACAACCACTTCAAACCTTTTTTCCATCTTTTTTGGTGCTGTTGATCTCTTGCAGCCTCTTTGAAACCACTTTCTGTCTGCATGCAATCCAGCAATGGTTGAATGGTGTTTTGCAGGGCTGTTTTTCTGGTGGTGACAACAGTGGACCATGCCTGTGTAACGTGTGCTGAAATGGTCACCTGTGATCTCTTTCGGAATCCCATGTGACAAGGTAACAATGCAGGATCACAGATGGGAGACAGAGACAGAATAAAATCAGAGCCACTTGAGGCAGAACAGCTGGCGGATTTAAAGCCCAACTCCCCCCCAAAAATGTTTTTCCACACAGTGGGGCTGTGCCCACACTGCACGGGTTAACTGCAGTGGCTCTGATTTTAGAAACTGTGCCTAAAATTAGAGCCACTTTAGGCTGATCACCTGGCAGCTTTAAAGCCCAACTTTCATGGGTCAAATGCTCCTTTTCACTAGGGGTGACCAGAAAGCTTATACTCACCCAATCCTCTGATCCAGCAGCAAACAGCGCTCCCCTATGATTCAGTGGTGGAACGTTCATGATGTCCTCACGTCCATAGCAGGTCTATTGGCTTGATGAAGTCAGGAACCGTCCACCACGCAAGGCTGTTAGACCGCATGGGGGGTTAGTTGCCACATAGACAAGTGTTGTGCAGTAAAGATCAGAGGAATAGGTAAGTTTATCTCCCTTCTCCAATCCCCTAGACAAAAATTAGTGGTCAACCCTTGTAGTGCACTGCAAGGGAAAAATTTTTTTTGCCATAGTTGGGCTTTAAGATTTACTGCAACTGAAGAGGGAAGAAAGCAACAGGAATGACAGACTTTGTGGAGGGAACACAGATTAGGAGGGGATAAAAGAAAAGCAGGAGATGTGACATTACAAGCTTTGCTGCCAGAGAGACACAAAAGAGTTATATTTACAAGTATAGCATCATACTGTATATTATCTCCTTGATATTCTCTCCTTTTTCCCTTGCAGCCTATGAACTTCAGCACTGTAAAGCCTCTGTCAGTCTTCCTTGCTATCTGAGCCAAGACATACAATCAAGGCTGGAAATATACATATTTTAATTGAAGAAAGTGATACATAGTTTTTGAGACCAAGGAAAGGGGGAGAATTTCCAATAAGGAAGTGACTGCTCTGGGCTTCAACAAAATGGTGGCCTCTAGCAAAAAGAAAGAGGAGTCATTGGCTCCCTATGCTGTCGGTGACGAGGGAGCAGGAGGATAGAATAGAGTCCCGCTGTCTGTCTCAATAGACACAGACTGTGAGGCTCGGGATTGAGCTTGCACAAGTATTCCTATAGAAACTGGCTTTCTATGGGGGTACTCAGCAGCAAGGAGGAGCCAGGAGCGCCGGTGGGAGACCCGAGAAGAGGAGGTGTGGAGCCAATCTGTGCAATTACATTGCAAAGAGCAGGTAAGTATAAACTTGTTTGTTATTTAAAAACAAACATATAAAAACACTTAAGGTTCCACTTTAAGAAACTGTATTTTGCTTTCAGCCTCCTCCAGATCCCCAAAACTTTTTTTTTTGCTGCTGTGATCTGACATCCTGTTAGAGGGTGCCTACATTTGTTCTCCATGGTCCCACTGTATGTAGGAACGTAGCCATCCTCTCTTACTTTCTCCCGAGATGGACTACAGGATTTATAGCGTGCATAGAGCAGTGTACATGACTGCAACAAAAGTGCATTGCTCGTTCTGGACAAACAGAAGTAAGGGGGAAAATGAGAGGTTGGGGATCCCGCAGAGGACATTGCAAGGAAGCAATTTAATGAAAAATAGGTTACAGGACCATTAAGCAGTGGATGCATATGGATTATTTTTGGAGAAAAAGGATATTGTTTAGTGTCACTTTAAATCTGATTTTGATGATGGCCGTTAACAGCAGCTGGAGAATACAGAGCTCCAAGCAGCATTGTTAATGTTGCTTTATGGATTACAAATATTAAATAGGCTGAGGACTATGCTTGGGATATTAAACGTTGATGTCATATTTAATTCATTATTCATTTTTAGTTAATTTATTGGGTCACAATGGCCAATTTCATGCCAGTTTGCTACAATTTTGGTTAGCCCTTGTGTTGTTGTTTATTTAGATGTTTTAAGTGTTGTGGTAAGGCTCCCACATATCATCTCAAGTATTACGATTCTTCCATGTCCTCCCTAATGCATGCATCACAGAAATTGGCATTTCTTATTCGGAAATCTGTGCTTTTACATTTCATGTCATTGAACAAATCTGTCACCCCACCAATTGTCCTCCTCCCTCGGCGTTCCCCGGTTCCCACAACGCTAAGCCCTCCTTAAAAATATTTATGTGTGTTAGTTTAGTTGACAAAAGCGTCAGAAAGGTTCAGGTGAAAAGCCGGCGCATAATCTAGCCGCCAATTGTGCGTTGATGGGAGAAGGATGGGGGTAGAGAAAGCCCCCTCATTACACTCCTGTCATTGCCTCTAAATCTCCTGTCCTCTTTAGCGGCATTAAGATGGGATGTAAATGTACTAGTTAATGTTGTTAGGAAGTGGATGGTTCAAGAAGGGGCAGGCATTAAAACTCAGTATTAGCAGCTGATAAGCCGCTTTGCGCGTGCCGGCACAGCTATTTAACATTCATGGGAAATAAAATCACCATCAAACAGCATGTTATCACAGCTCACTCAACGGCTGAGGAGCAAATTCATAAGTATGATAATTCTGTCCGTTCTCTCTATATAGCTGTAAGCAAAAATAGTACCTTTTACCTCCGATTACAGGCTGCTGAGCCAGATGGACTCGCTGTAAGCCCATATCTGCCCATACGTGCGTTTTGTCTAACACATTAATGTAGCATTTACAGATCGATACTCGGCTGGCCGATAAGGGGAAGACGAAGACGACGTTTAGCCTCCGCTTCTTGGCATGCGGCCAGTCCAGAGAGATTTCTGGAAATACAATTTGATGGCAATTAATAAGCAACAGGCCGGTGCGGTCAGGCCGTGCACTTATCAGGGGCATTTTATGCTCAGGATCCCTCTGAATCTGTAATTCACAACGTGCCCGTTCTTCCATTTCCAGAGCAATTATTACTGCCAAGGAAACATACGGCAGGACCTCCACACCGTCCGAGATTGCAGAGTCTGGAAAAATTGGGAAATATTTGATGGCCATTGTTAATTTAGCCCCATGAAGGCACCACATCCAATGGGCCTAGAAATTATTGGTTTTATGTAATACACAACCAGATTTACAATCGGCAGACCTCATTCCTCAATGTACCTGAAAAGAGAGTGTGTTTTCTCAGAGGCATCTGTTAACTTTAATTCTCCAACATCTCCAAATTCTGTCATCTTTCAAGGCAGCTATGACACCAATTGGCAGCACAGACAGTTCTTATTTCAGATGCTTTGGCGCCGTATCTATTGGCAGGAATGTTCTGTGTTTTGCTTTGTCTTTTATGGACGCATGAAAAACTTTGTAGTGTATATTAATTTGCGTTACTAAACAAAAATGCTGTACTCACTTGTAGGACAAACAATACACAACATACAGAATGTTACAAAATATGCATACAATATACACATTTACAAGCTATC